TCTGAACATGAGGAAGAACTTCCTGACTGTGAGAGCTGTTCAGCAGTGGAACTCTCTGCCCCGGAGTGTGGTGGAGGCTCCTTCTTTGGAAGCTTTTAAACAGAGGCTGGATGGCCATCTGTCAGGGGTGCTTTGAATGCAATATTCTTGCTTCTTGGCAGGGGGTTGGACTGGATGGCCCATGAGGTCTCTTCCAACTCTTTGATTCTATGATTCTATGATTCCTTGCAAGTTATACAGTCTCTCCTTGCCACTACTCCATGCCAGATACACATGCCACCTGTTGTAATGATCAGCATTTTGATATGAATCTGGATGAATGAGCAAGGAAATTGAGATTCTACTAGTGTTTTGATGCCAGTGTTTGTATGGCACCTCGGTGTTCCCAACCAGCACTCTCTCTTTGGAGTATTTATATCCTATGACCTACAGTCTTATATCACAATCTCTGGAGACACCTAATAAACTCCATATAAGGTGATGTATAACTTGATCACTTGCTATTAATAAAGCATAACATTACCTCAACTGAATAAATAGTTCCTCTCAGTCTTCAGATGGCCTAGATACTGAAAGGGGGAGCACTACAAGTTACGAGGATCCCGAGAGATCGACGGGCCATTTGCTCTCAAACAGCATGCCAGAAGTGCCAAACCAAAATATTACAAGATTGCAAGTCTTTGCTTTTAGGGAAGGTTGAATGAAAACACACCTCCCTCTGTTATTGGGTGCATCTAGACCGTAGAATTAATGTAGCTTGACACCACTTTTAATTGCCCTGGAACAATGCTATGTAAGCATTGGAGTTGTAGCTTGGCAGAGAAGACTAAAGAACTACAACTCCCATAATTCTATAGTATTGAGCCATGGCAGTTAAAGTGGTGTCGAACTGCATTAATTCTGCAGCATGATGCTCCCCAGGTTTGCATCTGTAAAATGTTGATGGTTATACAATTCTTGGAAACTCCCAGTGTTGTAGTCCAAAGAAGCAATTTTCCTAAGCTCCCACCATTTGTGGAATTGCTCCTTTTAAAAAAAGTGTCAGTCTTAAACTGAAACACAACAACTTTTAATAGGTCTGCTTAGTTAATGTTTGATGTGTTGATAAGCTGTTCTCACACTTTGAACTGCCCTTTTCAGATAGGAAACTGCCAGGGGACTATCATTACTTTAATAAATGAGGGAAAGAGCTGTTTATTCAGAAATGATAAACCACATTTTTCTCTGGTACTGTGTTGGGAATCAAGTTCAACCTCATCTCTGCCTCCTGAGCAGTCCAGAGATATTCTGCCAATGTGGACATTGAAAGAAGATTTTGACCTCAGAGTGGTGTTATCAAGCCAATTTGTTTTGCTGGTAAGAAATAGGTAGGGTAACAAATACCCCCATTTAGGTATCTCTGCTTAGTCAGTTGAGAAATGCTGATGAGAATTTGAAAAATGTCCATAAGATATCAACTGTGACTTTATTGTATTATTCCCCTGTGGAGACTCTGGCCTCATCTGCACTGCCATACACTCCAGTTTCTGAATTCAGTTGATCTGCTTTGAAATGGATTATATGGCAATGTAGACTTTTATAATCCAGTTCAAAGCAGATCACCTGAATTCAGAAACTGGATTAAATGGCAGTGTAGATTCAGCCTCACTGAGGTCTAGAATCATTGAAGAAATCATATCCACAAGAGTAGAACTATTGAATTCAATATATTTCCTTATGTTTTGACTCTCCATTCAACACTATATTGAATTTGTAGTGGTTTGAGTGTTGGGATATAACTCTGGTGACTAGGATTTGAATTTCACTCTGTCATGTGGACAACAAGTTAAACATGAGCCAACAATATGATGTGGTGGCAAAAAAGCCAATGGGATTTCAGCCTGCATCAATAGGAGTCTAGTATCTAGATCTAGGGAAGTAATGCTACCCCTCTATTCTGCCTTAGTTAGAGCACACCTGGAATATTGTGTCCAACTCTGGGCACCACAATTCAAGAGAGATATTGACAAGCTGGAATGTGTCCAGAGGAGGGCGACTAAAATAATCAAGGGTCTGGAGAACAAGCCCTATGAGGAGTGGCTTAAGGAGCTGGGCATGTTTAGCCTGAAGAAGTAGAGATGGAGAGGTGATAGGTTAGCTGTTTTAAAATATCTAAATGGGTAGCATGTAGAAGATAGAGTAAGGCCTGCCTGCATGCCTAGCCACACATGCTGGAGACTAGGACGCGGAACAATGGCTTCAAACTACAAGAGAGGAGATTCCATCTGAACATGAGGAAGAACTTCCTGACTGTGAGAGCTGTTCAGCAGTGGAACTCTCTGTCCCGGAGTGTGGTGGAGGCTCCTTCTTTGGAAGCTTTTAAACAGAGGCTGGATGGCCATATGTCAGGGGTGATTTGAATGCAATATTCCTGCTTCTTGGCAGGGGGTTGGACTGGATGGCCCATGAGGTCTCTTCCAACTCTTTGTTTCTATGATTCTATGATACTGGGCATACTCTCAACCTTCAAAACCCTGTGATAGGTTTTTGTTAGAGTCACTGTAAGTCACACAATAATAAAGTTGGGACAAGTCAACAACTTCTATCTGTTAATTCAGTTAGTTGATTTCTTCTCCTATTTTTTTTTAAAAAGTGTTTGTTCCTAAAGAAAGCCTACCCAGAATGCAGCTACATATGAAGGCAACAAATACTCTTCCATCACCTGAGACAAGAAGAGATATACCTACTCCCTGAACATCCCAAGTCTGTGATGGTTGTGCTCAGTATTAGGCTTCCGGATGTGGAATGTCAGCTTCTCTGCCATTAAATCTAAGAGTAATGACAGCTTTCCTGTGGTCACTCTATGGCTGAGGAAGGTATTCAGAGAAATGTCTGGCTCTGTATCCATGGTAAGTTGCAGACCAAGGACACTTTACACCAAAATCTTCCAAGTCTCTGGAAGTCCCAATAGATACATCATCTATGTGCATCTGGCTATGAGACTACAGTAGATCGTCCCAATCCGCAGGCTCCTTCTCTTTGGGCTCCTCATTGGCCTTCTCTTTTCAACGGTGGAACTCTCTGTGTAGTGGAAGTTTCTTCCTTGGAAGCTTTTAAACAGAGGCTGATATGCCATCTGTCATGGATACTTTGATTGTGCTTTCCTGCATGGCAGGGGGTTGGACAAGATGGCCTATGTGGTCTCTTCCAACTCTATTATTCTACGATTCTACGGCTCTCTTCAAGTGATGATTTCAATTGACGCATATCATCACAGCTCGTATCTCAAATGGTGACGACATGCATGTGAATGTGCAGATATGGATATGCACATGCTCACAGCACTTAGTAACATTAGGTGTGACTATTCACATTTTTGGCCATATTTGGGGGAGGGAGTAGGAATTCCAAACCTGAAACATACTAGATCTGGAGGAGCAGCTGTATAGGTGCCAGGGATGGCTATCACAAAAACTGTGTTTTCATTTTGCTAGAGAGAAAGGGACAGAAAGGTGAAAAATAAGGGGTTTTTTAGTGATTGAATTTCCTAGACGGTGCAAGATTGCCACCTGCAGGTTAAAATGGTAAGCATGGCGATCCAGAAAGGATGAAGAATCCAGTGGTGTCTTGAACTCCAGATGGAATTGTAATTAGTCTTTTTTTTCCAAGGCATTTCTACACATTGGATGATGTGATTATGGGAAGACTGCTCCACCAAATCATTCTCCCAGGGGACTGTGGGGGGGGGGGGGGAAAGAAACATTTGAAAGGCATACTTCTCCCCCATATAAATATCTCTCAAAGATGGAGTACCTCTAAGAAGCACAGGTACTATATATATATATATATATATATATATATATATATATATATATATTCTGTTGATGCTGAAATCAATGTTGTTTTACAATTGATGGTGTCTTAAAATAGAAGAAATATGGTCAGAGGTGAAGATTTCCACCCTGATGTCATTGTCTGTATCAGGGAAGTTCTCAAACTTTTCAGTTGTGAAGTCCTTTTTGAAGCAAACGTTTCCAATGGAGCCCTAAGAACTGTTTTATATTATATTATATTATACTGTATATATATTAGGTATGGGCTGGGCCAATGTCAGATGGATGGCAAGTGTTTGTGTGAAGTAATTCACAGTGCAAAACAAAATTCAATGGAAGACCCCCAGGGCTATCCAGTCCAACCCCCTTTATTCTGTCATGCAGGAAAAACACAATCAAAACACTCCAACAGATGGCCAACCAGCTTTTGTAGGAACAAGAACAAGGACAACAGAAACCTCAGAGGCCATCCAATCCAACCCCCATCTGCCATGCAAGAAAAACAAGGGCTCCGCGGAGCACAGGTTGAGAGCCCCTGGTCTATACTATGAGTAGAGAGATTGTGATGGAGCTTGGTAACAATTGCCAAGTTTTTCCTCTTGTTAAAATGAACAAACTGTAGAATGGAGTGAAAAAATAGCTTTGGTGCAAAACAAAATTCAGTGGAAGACCCACAGGGTTATCCAGTCCAACCCCCTTTATTCTGCTATGCAGGAAAGGCACAATCAAAGTATCCCAACAGATGGCTACCCAGCTTTTGTAGTAACAAGAACATCATCATCAACAACAACAGAAACCCCAGAGGCCATCCAATCCAACCCCCATCTGCCATTCAGGAAAAACAAGGGCTTCATGGAGCACAGGTTGAGAACCCCTGGTTTATACTATGGGTGGAGGGATTGTGATGGAGCTTGGTAACAATTGCCAAGTTTTTCCTCTTGTTATAATGAACACACTGTAGAATGGAGTTAAAAAAGTAGCTTTGGTCTATACCATGGGTGAAGGGATTGTGATGGAGCTTGGAAATAATTGCAAAGTTTTTCCTCTTGTCAAAATAAGCATACTGTAGAATGGAGTGTAAAAAGTAGCTTTCAGTTAACATATTGAATGAGATATTTTCATTCTAATAACAAGGTATTCATGCAGAGCAAGATATGGAATTCTGCACTGAAATCATTGCAGCCATAGTGATAAGAACAGAACCTTTATTGCAATTTCAAAAGGCAATGGGCATGTTGCAAGTCAGCAGTGATAGCTCAGGCATTCAGTCCCTTAAAGCTCTTCCTGTTGCATCTAGAAAAAAACAACAATAAAGGACATTTCTTAAAATGACTACATATACATCACTAAGCAAAAATGAATGCAGAGGATGTTTGCATAACAAAATCAAAAGCCTCAATTTTATTGGTAACTTCCGTCAGGAAGAGAATCATTTGTACTAATTTCTCTATGATAAGTAAACATGTAGGTAAATCCTATTGGTTTGATTAATCTAACTCTGCCAGGACAGAATTGTAGTGTTTTCAGAAAAGGGCTTATTCACTCTGCATTTTGTGCCTTTTGTGTTTCTGAGCATAGCATTGTCTGAAAAATTAAGTAAGATCAGAGAAACTGGGTTGTTGTAGGTTTTTTCGGGCTATATGGCCATGGTCTAGAGGCATGGTCTAGAATGCCTCTAGACCAGGGGTAGGGAACCTTTGGCCCTCCAGCTGTGGTGGACTTCAACTCCCACAATTCCTTGAGGCTCGGCATTGGGCCAAGGTAAGCCTTTGGGGCGAATGCCGAGCCTCAAGGAATTGTGGGAGTTGAAGTCCACCACAGCTGGAGGGCCAAAGGTTCCCTACCCCTGCTCTAGACCATAGCCATATAGCCCGAAAAAACCTACAACAACCCAGTGATTCCGGCCATGAAAGCCTTCGACAATACATTGATCAGAGAAACATCTGGCTAAGTCCTTATAGCTCAGGGGTGTCAAACCCATTTTCATTGAGCGCCACATCAGCCTTATGGTTACTGCCAAATAGCTGCTGAATCCATGGACAGAGAATCCGTGGCTACTACAGGGCTATATATATATATATATATACACACATACACACACACACACACACATACATAGACATATACATATATACATAGTTCCCTGGGAGAATATAAAGGAAGCATGGGCCTCCCCAACTCATCACTTTTTGAATGCCTGGTGAGTAAATGGTGGTGGTGAACAGGGCGGCTGACTCCCTGGGGTGGCTTTGGTGCCTTCCCTTCCCCATGGAATGACCCTCAACTTATCCATGAGTCATATCAAAATCAATAATTTTGTCCTCCAAACCTGCTGTGAACTTATATATGAGGTCAAATTATTACATGAGTATATCAGTGCTGAGATTCATGCTGAATACGTATTGTTATCCCTGTATAAATGAAACCATGTTCTGTGTTGACATAGAGAACCACAGTTTGTTATTTCTCACCTTCCTGAGCTTCTAACAACATTTTCTATGTCATGTTCCCACCATTAGTTCTTCACACAAATGTCTGGAGTACATGTCTCTACAACTGCTGTTTTCACCTGCAAAAACAAAAGCAAACACTGAATGCCATTTTCACAGTTGTATTTTACTTTCTTCTATGCTATGAATAGTTGCAAGACTCACATTGGGAGAAAAATGATACATAAATTAAAATAAATGAATTCATTAAAATCTACCCACTGAGGGTAAAATCAGGGAATGGAATGTTGTTAGTTAGTCCTAGGTAGAGTAGAATTATGTCGTTATTGTTGAATGGTGAGTCCAGATGTCGATAAATCAAGCTGATACAATGATCAGGACTAACAATGTGATTTACGCCAAATTTGCATAGCCCAACCTTCCATATCCATTGAGAATATTAAAAAATATATCCAAATATCAAACCTTAATTTTGCCATTTTATATAAGGGACATCGTTTTATTTTGCCATTGTTCATAATAGGATTTGAGCATCCACAGATTTTGGTATCCACAGCAGATAACCAGGGCCCATTATAATTGTTGCCTTTAAGGTTTTTCCAACTTAAAATGACCCAACACTGGCCCTATCATGGGGTGTTCCTGGTACAATTTGTTAAGAGAGAGACTCCTATTGCCTTCCTCTGAGGCTGCAAAAGCATGATTTCCCTAAAGTCACCCAATAGGCCTCCATAGTTGAACAGAGATTTGAAGTCTGGTCTCCCGGAGCCCTAATCCGACACTCCAACCAAGACACCATGCTGGCTCTCATACTTCTACTGTAAGTGGCTATTAAAGCAACATAAAGCAGTCATTTTTAAACAAATCCCTCACACTCACATGCATTGCTTTATGTGTTTGACAGCACAGTTTCATAGTTAAATGATGGGGCATTATGTTAGGGCTAGGTCTATGGAGCATTGCCATGGACTTTTCCCAAGAGCTATGTGGCATTGGCATGAGACAATGCCACATAGAGAAGAACATGCCTAGAGAAGAGACGGTTAAGAGATGACATGTAGCCACATTCTAATATTTGAAAGGATACCGCATTGAGGAGGGGAAAAGCTTGTTTTCTACTGCTCTATAGACTAAAGACCTCATCAGATGGGCAGGGTAAAATGGGGGAAATCATGGGGCAACGTCAGGCTCTGTTCTCTCCCATAAGGGCCCTTGATCTTTTTTTCCATGAAGTTTCTCCATCTGACCTCACTTCCTCTTCAGTCCTTTTTGCTCTGCAATGTTGCCACCTTGGAGCCCCATGGAGTCCCACCAGAAGTGGTCCTGCACCATGTGATGGACTCTGTGGGACTCCGTTCTGGCAGCAGAGAGAAGCAGTGAGAAAATGCTCCTCTTGCTCCATCTGTTGAGGTCCTAAGACATGGAACATTGATTCTAACTGCACAAGAAGAGGTTCCACCTAAACATTAGGAAGAACTTCATAATGGTTGGCAGTAGAAGTCTAGTGGAGTCTCTTTCTCTGGAAGTTTTTAAACAGAGGCCATCAATTGGGAATGCTTTGACTGTATATTACTGCATGAAAGAGGGTTGGGCAGGTGACCCTTATGGTCTCTTCCAACTATAATTTCTCAAGGAAAGCATGCATGCCTCAATGTCTGAGTGCAAAGACATTCCATTTATTTTGGACTCTTAACTAGGCAGGGATTCAGAAACTGGGAAACCAAAAAGCTCTTATCCTAAAAGCCAGTCTTAATAGCTCTTTACCTTCATTCCACAATAAGTCGGAGGAGCATTCAAAAGGCAACAGGTGGAGGCAAACTTAGCTCGCTGCTGAACTAGTGCAGAAAGGACAGCTTCAGTAGCATTGGGAAACTTCTTGACATATGTGTCTCTTAGCCTGCAGTAAAGGCAATAGTGTTACAGGCATTTTGTGCAAAAATATGCCAAAATTTTGAGTAACTTTGTGGAGCTGGAGTTACAAAGCGCATTCCCCCACTCCAAATTCTGAAAATATTTCTGAATGAAAGTAAAAATGTGTATAACTTCAAGAAGGTTGTTACTATAGATAGATACATTTATATAAGAAGATATATGATGTGTATATCCCAAGAGAATGATCCCTTTATGAACCATCTTGGAAGTTAAGATCTTCTGGGAAGGCCCTGCTCTTGACTCTGCAGCCCTCGCAAGTGCAGTTGTGGGGACAAGAGACATAGCCTTCCCAGTGGTGGCTCCTCGGCTCTGGAACTCTCTCCCCAGTGAGATTAAATCAGTGCCCTCCCTCCTGGCCTTCAGAAAGAAAACAAAGACATAATTCTGGGACCAGGCTTTTGGCTGGTAGTGCAATGCAAAGAACAATTAGGAAATAAGTGCTATGACAATCAGAATGGCCACGGCGGATGATTTTTGGATCATGTGATTTTAATATTTATATTAGGACGTTTTAATGCTTTGTCTTAGTGTCTATATGTTGTATATGCCCATATTTAATGGTTTTAATGATTTTCATTTATAGGTATACGTCAGTGCTTAATTATTGTGATTTTATTTTATTATATTTTATTATATGTATGTTGGTATTGAATTCTTGCCATTAATATGTTGTAAACCACCTTGAGCCCCCCCCCCCCTCCCCGGGGTGAGAAAGGCAGTATATAAATATACTACATAAATAAATAAATACATCATTATAATAAATATTTGCATATACATTGCTAATGTACTAACAAAATAAATTAACTTTAAGATATGTATATAGTTGACGGCCATCAAGAGTAGAAAAAATAGAATTTGAATTAGTTATTTGATAACTATGCAGAATTGGAAGAGAAGAGAAGAAAAAATGGACAACAAAAGAAGATAAAATAAATTAACGCGGATCCTAAAGGATAATCTGTTACTCTTATTAGAGAAGATGTCAAAGTTGGAACTTTTTGTTTCTTTTACTTCATTTCCTCCCTATACTAAAGAAGAAGAAGAAGAAGAAGAAGAAGAAGAAGAAGAACAGGAAGAAGAAGAGGAAGAAGAAAACTTTATTTATACCCTGCCACCATCTCCAGGAGGGACTCAGGGTGGCTCACAAGCACTCAAGGTGCAAACATGCAAAATACAATAAAAGAGGACAAAAACAAAGCAATAACAAACTAACATAATGAATATGTATAACAATGCTCCCTCCCCCTTATGTCTTTGACGATACAATAGACTCATGTGTAGAACTATTTAACTAACATGGCTCTGTAACTTACATACTATCTCCTGTAATGTTTCCCATCTTTCCCTTCTTTTCCCCCTTTTAGAAATTGTTTATTTGAGTTATGTTTTTCTTTAAAAAAATTAAAACTGATTTGCAAAATGAGATAAATATAGGGGGAGAAAAACTTAGTGTAATTTCATTAGGAGGAAAAGAAATACAAGAGTGAAGTAAGAGAACATGTCTACCTATGCAGAAATACGCAGATATTTAGAAAGGAGATACATCTCCATTTTAAAGATAGGAAAATGGACCAACGTGTTGTCGAAGGATTTTATGGCCGGAATCACTGGGTTGTTGTAGGTTTTTCGGGCTATATGGCCATGTTCTAGAAGCATTTTCTCCTGACATTTCACCTGCATCCTCAGAGGAACAATGATTCATAAAAAACAAACATTGTGAGCCAAGGATTTTTTTTTTAAAAAAACAACAACACTTCTTAAAAATTTATTTTGATCTATAGGAAGTCCCAGAAGGGCTCCAAATATGGGAAATGTTTTCTACATCCCCTAGAGATAACTCTTGTCTGTTTTGGAGCAACTTTTTTTGCCCTGGAGACCACAAAGGGCCTCAGAAACAACCCCAGACAAACTACAGGCAGGCCTTAAGCTAGACTTTGCCTACTTCTGTGTTACCTGAAGGAAAACAAATTTTAAAAGTATGACTTGTTCTTCTACAACATAATATTCATTTCTAGAGGTAGGATTTTTTTTCATTTGCCAATTTTTAAATGAACATATGCAATATATACTCCACTAGGCTATGACAAAAAAGTCAGTATATATTTTTTTCAATTTCCATAAGGAGGAAAGTATAAGAAAAAAAATATTTTTCTAGTTTGATTGAAATATAAACAGATGCATATGTATGAATGCATGCTTATTTTGGGGGAAAAAAATTAGCCAAACATGCTTTTTTAAAACTGGAAATAGGTATGCAAAATGGGTATAAAACTTGTGGGAAAATCCCAAAGGAATACAAAACAACAATGAGATCAAAATGTAGGTGGGTTTGGAGAAACACAATGGAACTGAGAAAATGAGAATCTCACCTTTTCTTGAATTCCAGGAAAACGTGATCCGTATAATCATCACATAGCTGATTGCCTTTAGAAAGTATTTCTAATGTCTCCTCTGATGACTCAAGTCTCTGAAGAGGAGAAAGAAAACTTTAATGTTATAGGAATGAAAGACCTTTTCTATATAAACTCCAAGAGAAAAAAAAACTGAGAGTTCTTTGTATGATGAGACACACCCCAGATACCTGCAATACTGTGTTATTTTCTGGGCACCGCAAGTAGGGGAAGAAGTGACCTCCACCCCATCTTGACTTTTATTGCCCTCAATAGGAAGAGTTATATCTCCTGTTGAGTCTTCACCTCTTGTTTTGAAGGGACTCTTCAAATTAGAAATCTATCTCTTTCTCTGTATTTTTGTTGGGAATCAGCCTGTGTTTGTATTTCAGGATCCTGATGTGGGAAAGGATGAGAGAAATGATGAGGAAAATGATGGTGCTGAGGCTGAGGTACAAGATGGAGATGGTTTGGTCAATGATTTTCAGGCAGACAATGACAGAGAGGCCCCAGTGCAAAGGGCAGTTTCTCATGAGAATATTCCTGTTGGGCCTAGCAATGATAGTTCACTCCCTCTCTCTATGAGCTCTCAAAATTTGGGTTTAGAAAACAATCTGACACCTGGGAATTTTAATGAGCAGCCAGATAGGGAGCTGAAGAATAGGTGGCTGGAGATTAGCCAGGATCGACAGCAAACTCAGTGTTTATGTCGCTCCGAAAGGCTTCGTCTGATAAGGGGGAAATGTGGGGGGAAGTGAAACCAATTTCTGAGTTTTGGGATATAAAGTTTGCCTCAAGGGGAAACCTATTAGATCAGGCATCGTTTGAAACCAAGTTCATGTGCCATGAAAATCCTGTTCATGGGGTCTTGTTCCTGTGGAGTTTTTTTTAGCCTTTTGGATTGTCTTTGCATCCTGTTGGATTTCTCTCTGGATTAATGCTGTTTTGGATTGCTTTTATTACTTGTGTGGACATTGCTTTGTGTTGCTGCTTTTTATGGACATTACTTTTTGAAACCTTCTTATTTTCTTACAAACATTTATTTCTTCTGGATATTTACTAAACTTCGATAAAAGAAGATTTATTTATTCACTCTTCATGTGGTGTGTTTTAAAGTCAGAGGACTTTTTCCTGACCTGAAGTGCAAATTTTTTTCTTTCAATGTAGCGGTGTCTGTATGGGTCCATGCACTCATTCTTTCTTCCTTTTGCTTTCATTTGAATCTCCTTTAGAATGGCTGGTCAGGAGTTTCAAATGTCTTCTAAATCATGGATGCATAAATTACACAACTAGCTTAAGATGTTTTATTGATTGAGACGGTAGAGAAGGAGACATCTTGCACAATTTAATTTAAGAGAGTCAAAAGGTCTTGCAGACGAATATTCTTTCATCATGGTTTAGATTACACCCTTCACCACACTCAAGTACCCACAGGTTAGCCTATAAGTTCAGGGTAGAATGTCACCCACAAACCTGGTTTGTTCTCCCTTCTTGTGCATTTGCTTGGTTGGCCAATTCAGTTTTCACTAGATGGATATGTAGCCTATACCAAAACTTCTTACAATTTCCCACTTAGTATCCCTTTAGGCCTGATAATTTTTTATGTCACCCTGGGTATATTGGCATATAAAATAAGTATAAAAATAAAAAAAAAATATACTGATAACAAATCAGCATTTCAAAACCTTGCTAAACAGGCTAATTTTCTTTTTTACGAGGTACAGCTGAAACATCTTCTGCAAAGTCCTCTGTAAACACTACACAACAGATTCATGTACATCTCTAAAATAAGCATTTGATGATGTTCTGAAAACTTTTACTGTTGCCAAGTTTTTTGGGACCCCAACATTGAGATAAGGGCCATTTGAAGTTGGGACCCAAAGTTGGAGTGTATCTTGAGGAAATGGGTGATTAGTCACTTATGATTCCTTATGAAATAAATTGCTCTGAATCCTGTGGATTAGTCTAGTAGACCTATTTAATTGCTGAACACTAAGCCAACACATTGATCAATCTCACTGATTCAATGGATCTTCTCTAGCTGGCATTGAGTATGGGATACCATACATTGCACGTGAATGTGCAAAGAAATTCAGTTGTGCATATAGACACACTTTGAGCATCTTGATTCAGCTGTGCAACCCCATCATTCAGTTCAAGGGTTGCATGACATGATTAATAGATGACTGCACAAGCAGTTGTTTTATGCTAGGCAACACTAGTGTTGGATCTTAGCCAATGTGTGTGCAGAGACGTTTCACCTGTGGGTCCCTACATTGATGGGGAGTTTGACTAACTATTTTTCCACTTTTATGATTCTACCAGGATGTGACAACACGGGCTCCTTGGATTGAAAATGGAGAAAAGCACCTCTCACGAGCCAGAGATGAGCACTGCCTCCAGAAGCCGGAAATGAAAGGAGAAGCCCTTGCCTTTGTTTGTTGTTGTGTGTCTCTTTGTATATGATTGTAAAGGCATTGAATGTTTGCCGATGTATGTAAATGCTGTAATCCGCTCTGAGTCCCTTAGGGGAGAAGAAAGTGTATTATTGTTGTTATTGTTATTGTTATTATTATTATTATTATTATTATTATTAGTAGTAGTAGTAGTAGTAGTAGTAGTAGTCTGGGGAGAATAAACAGAACATTGTTGTATTTTACCTTCCGATTAAAGCAAGCATTGAAGTCGGGATCACTGCAGCAAGCATTCACAAATTTTTGGCCAGCATCATACAAGGCAGTATGAATAGCTTCTGGAGCACGTGGAAATTTCCGAGCTGTGTAATGTATATACCTATAATAGACAGAAAGTGTTACAAAACCCTTTGCCTTTTTTCATCTGCCCAAGGTCAATGGATACAGTATGCGATGGTTTGAATGATCCCTACTTATTCCCGAAATTAGTGAAAACATAGTGATTGGGAATACGAATAACCCATAAATGCCTTCAAAACCACCTTACTGAATTCTGGCCACAGTTATTCAAGATCTTAGATACCTCCCTATATAGACATTGGAAGCCTTTTTTTTCTGGATTACAAATCTCAGAATCTCCATCTCAGAATGGAGGATTTTGGTTTTTAGTCACCTCAGAAGTAACTGTTCTAAGGATTGCTACAAGAAAGAAAAACAGAGGAGTAAAAAAGGTTAGACCCCATCTGGAAGAATACTGTGTCAAGCTGTGGACACCGAAGGGTAACCAAAATGATCAACGGTCTGGAAATCAAGCCCTATGGGGAAGAGCTGAGAGAACTGGGTGTGTTTAGCTTGGAGAAAAGAAGGCTGTGAGGGGACATGATCACCATGTTTAAATATTTGACTGGATGCCATATAGAAGTGGGAGCAAATTTCTGCTGTTCTGAAGACCATAACATGGAGCAGTGGATTCAAATTGCAGGAAAAAAAGATTCCACCAAAACATTAGGGAGAATTCCTGATGGTGAGAGCTACTTGGCAGAGGAATAAGCTGACTCAGAGCGTGACGGAGTCTCTTTCTCTAACGGTTTTTGATCAGAGGCTGGATGGCCATCTGTCAGGGGTGGTTGGATTCTACTTTTCCTGCATAGGAGGGGGGTGAACTGGATGGGCCTTGAGGTCTCTTCCAATTTTATGATTCTATGAATTAAAATCCTTTAATAGTTGCACCTACTGATAATACTTGGTAATGATTACTCGGCACAAACTTCAGTGAGTGCCATCCAGGGCAGGAAATGGGGCAGAGTCCACTTACTCATAGAATGCTCTCTCTTGCCCTTCGCCACAGAGAACTTCTTCAGTTGATTGCACAAAATCGGGAAGATCAACAGGTTTGGCCCAAGGAAGGGAATAGATGCATAAATATTTTCTCAAGTCAGTCGCTGAGGCGCAGCACTCTCTAATCCTGTCATCACTGCCTGGAAGTTTTTCACAGATTTTGGCTGTGTGTGCCAACACCTAGATCAAAGGAAAAAGCAAAGAAAGGATTTTCAAAACCAACAGACCACCCACATTGCAGAATTATAGCAGTTCGACACCATTTTAACTGTTACAAAATGAGAATTATGTCTGTCAAGTTCTCAATAGGGTCTATTTTGCTCTTTAGTCCTATTTAGAATTCACCTAATTTCTTTACATTTGGACTGGAAAGAACTTTGGAAAAAAATGAATGTGGGAACAATGGAGACAAACTGATGCATAATGAAAGGCTTGTAGTCCTGAACCCTTCAAGTTGTTTCTGACAGCAAGTGAACCTATCACTGTATCTCCTTGTCAAGACTTTAGAGAAGAGTTGGTCTTCTAAAGAACTTACAGCAATGGAATGAAATGTAATAGACCTAGACATCAGAGGAACCATGGCAGAAAACTGGCAGAGTGAGTGTATCCTGATGTGGGCTAATGTTAATCTGAAGGTCTATGGTGCAGTACACACATGCAACAATGCCAAGGCTTGCTGTTTAAAACATTTCCCAGGTGCCAGTTGAAGAATGTGTCTTGTTCTTGAACACTCACCTCTTTTTGGATACACTGCTCTTCCATTGAATCACAGCACTTGGAAAGCACTTCAGCAGAATCTTCAGCAAGAGATAAGACATCGTCAAAGGAAGCAGAGGGACTTCTCTGGGTAAACGTGATGAAATAGCTAGATGGGGCACATAGGATATAAAAGGGTTTAGATGGTCTTTGCTACACCAAAGCAACCTGCCTGATCTTTTAAAGCATTTTTCTAGCACAGATGTTGGCAACAGGTAACCCTTTGGATGTTGTTGGACTATAGATCCCATCGTCCATCAACATGGACTATGTTGGCATGGTTAGCCACTCTGAGTCCCTCAGCAAGGGAGAGATGGCAGCATATGAAACAAAATAAATAAATGCACAATAAAGTAAGCTAGAGAGTTGGGCCTTATAGCAACACAGCTAGTGTAGTTACACTGCAAAGTACTACTTAACCTGTACAGTGATAGTTATATAATAAATATTTCCTCTATACTGTGGAATTAATGGAATCCTGGGAATTGCAGTTTGGAAAGGCACTCAGCACTCTTTGGCAGAGAAGTCTCCAAAGACTTGTAAAACTACAAGTCTCTTGATTCCATAGCATTGACCCACGACAGCTAAAATGGTGTCAAACTCCTTTAATTCTACATCGCATGTGAACCCAAAGTAGCACAAATAGAATTGTATTGTTGAAGGCTTTCATGGCTGGAATCACTGGGTTGTTGTAGATTTTTTAGGCTGTATGGCTGTGTTCTAGAAGCATTCCTTCCTGACATTTTGCCTGCATCTATGGCAGACCTCACATTCTCTGATGATGTCTGCTATAGATGCAGGAGAAATGTCAGGAGAGAATGCTTCTAGAACATGGACATACATCCCGAAAAACCTACAACAACGCACAAATAGAATTCAAGTCAATTTTTAAAATCCTAGTCAAACCACATTTTCATTATTGAATGTCTCCTTAGACTAGGACCTCTCTGCACTGCCATGAATTCAGAAAAAGACATTTAAATGTATCCCCTTGGAAATGGCGGTAAACTCAGAATCAGCCCACAGAAGTTTTTTTTCAATCTTTTAACTATATTTCTCTTTTAAACTGCAAAGTCCCAAATGAAAAGTCTGATCTGCCACAAATGCTTGACATTTCCATATTTGCTTTGTACCTGAGCTTTGTTTTATCTTTGCCAAACACGGCGTAGCGAGAACACGCTTTGTTGGATAGATGCGTGAGTGTCCGGAGAGATGTCCTTTCCAGCCGCTGCAAAACAGAAACGTTCTCAGAGATTCAAACTGGTATGGGAAAACCCCATCCAGCAGGCTTAAAATGCTTTACAAAGGCTCATCAAATTTGCTCTCAGCCTTACATCTGATGAGAACTAAGGGATTTTTCAACCTCCTATCCGCACTGCAGTGAAAGTTTATTTGCATCAGTGGAGGCTTTTGAAATTCTAGATGCAACAGGGAAGATCGATGTCAGGATAAGGCTGTTGCTGTATTGGACAACAATATGAGCTTTTAGGAAAAATCTCAAGGAGAAGGAGCACCAAGCTTTGTCCTGAAAAGAAAACACAATTACCTCTTTTGAGAAGCAGGCCATGGGATGCGCATCGGCACAACACTTTCCAACAATGGATAAATAGGTTGTCGTAGAGGCCAGCAGCAACGGCAACGGGGTATGGCTGTTGTCACTGGAATACTCGTACAGAAACCTAAGAAGTGGGCCACAAAGAAAACAAGGAAACAAGTGGGGCTGGTTTAGTCATTGTGATATTTACATTGCTGAATTCTGCCACAGTCTCACCAAGCTTTTCTCTGTGTGTGTCAGGAACAACTTGAGAAACTACAAATTGCTTCTGGTGTGAGAGAATTGGCCGTCTGCAAGGATGTTGCTCAGGGGACGCCCATATGTTTTTGATGTTTTACCATCCTTGTGGGAGGCTTCTCTCATGTCCCCGCAAGGGGAGCTGGAGCTGACAAAGGGAGCTCATCCATGCTCTTCCCGGATTTGAACCTGCAACCTGTCGGTCTTCAGTCCTGCCAGCACAAGGGTTTAACTCACTGTGCCACCGGGGGCTCCTGACCAAGCTAGTAACCAATAACATGCCTCTGGAAATTCTCATGTTGGGAATCAAAATGAATGTCTTTCTGTGTTCTTCATGTGAAAGTGTTATATTTGAAGTACACTACTTACATAACTGTAAACGACCATAGACTGCTTTGGGTCCCATACTCAAGCGCACAAAGTGTGATCTATCAGGTTCTCATAATCTTTTTTCTTACAGAATCTGATACAAATAGGTTCCTGAAAACACTGAACGATTTGAAAGGGACCTAAAAGTCCAGAGATTTCCATATGGACTGTCCAGTTCACTAGGATGTATCTTTGCAGCCTACCTGTCTGCAATGTCATGGGGATCTTTTTTGAAGGCCTCACAAAGTTCATCAGAAGATGGTTCCATATAGGTGAAGAACTCCTTGGGTGGATGTTTCAAGGCTGCCAGACAAAGTTTTCGAGACAAGCCTTCCTCAGTACAACATGCAGCTGTCCCAGGATGCTTGGGGAAAGGTGAATTTGGATCACAGGATTTGGCTGAGAGAGCTGTAGACTGAAGACAATTGTATGTGTACAACAGAAAAGGAATGAGATACATTCAGAAAAATAAAATGAGATAGAGAGCAGTTACATTTTGATGAAATTCCATTGTCCCTGCAGGGATGGCTCAAGATATTTTGCTGCATATTTGTGACTATTAAATGTTGTTAAAGCTATTTTGACCTCTGGTGATCCCATGATGGAGAGACCTTGGAGTTTCTCAATCTTCAATAGCCCTGCTCAGGTCTTCCAGACTCAGGGTTGTGGCTTTCTTCTTTGAGTCTATCTTTCTGGAATATAGTCTTTCCCTTTTCTGCTGCTGACCAAGCATTATCGTCTTTTCTATTGAGTTATCTTTTCTCATGATATGGCCAAAGAACAACAGTATCAGTACAGACATCTTATCTCCTAGGGCAGTGTTTCTCAACCTTCCTAATGTTGTGTTTTTGTTGCTACTTCATAACTGTAAATTTGCTACTGTTATGAATTGTAATGTAAATATCTGATATGTAGGATGTATTTTCATTCACTGGACTAAATTTGGTAAAAATGTCTGATATGCCTAAATTTGAATACTGATGGGGTTGGGGGGAGGAGGGCAGGATTGATCTTGTCATTTGGGAGTTGTAGTTGCTGGGATTTATAGTTAACCTACAATCAAAGAGCGTTCTGAACTCCACCAATGATAGAATTGGGCCAAACTTCCCACATAGAACCCCCATTTCTTGAAGTTACTCGCAGGTATGAACCTCCCTTCAGCCTCGCACACTCTCACTTGCCTGCACATGTGCACCATGCTGCCATGTGTGGAACATGCCTGCTCTCCCCTCCCCTATTTGGAGTCTCAGAAACAGCCCTCCCCTTGCCTGAGAGGCCGGTCAATCACAGCGGAGGAGGGGCTTTGTGGGAGGATTCACAGTCTGTTTCCAAAAAGGAAGAGAAGGACAAGCAGAGAGATATTTAGCCGTCTCTGCCAAAGAGGTTCCTAAGACCATCAGAAATATATGTTTTCTGATGGTCTTTGGTGCTCCCTCTGAAACCCCCTTGTGACTCCACTGGGGGTACTGACCCCCAGGTTGAGAAATGCTGTTCTGGCTTGATTTGCTCTGGGACCCATTGGTTTGTCTTTTTAAGCATTTTTGGAACTCTTTTCCAACACTATATTTCAAATGAGTTGATTTTTGCCTATCAGCTTTCTTTGCTATCCAACTTTCACAATACATAAACATATATAAAAATGGAAAATACAATGGCATGGAGGATCCTAACTTTAGTACTCAGCTATATTTACACATAAGGATCTTGCCTAGGTCCTTCATAGCTTCCAAGTACTAGTCTTCTGAGTTTTTGGCTGCAATCTCAATTAATGACTGTAGTAGTCTCTGATTTATGACTGAGCCAAGGAATGAAAACCTTGAATTATTTCAATGTCTTCATCATCTACTGTAAAACTATATAAATTATCTGTGATCATTGTTTGTGTTTTCTTGATGTTCAACTGCACCTTCTTCTTGACTTTTTACATTACTTGTTCCAAGTCTTTGCTACTTTCTGCTACTAGTATGCTGTCATATACATATATTAAACTATTACATATAGCAAAGCACAAAATAATATTCCTTTCAGGCCTTTTCATATGTACAGCTGCTAGGCCAAGTCTTCTCCATCTTATATCTCTGCATTTGGTTTTTGTGGATTGAGTATAGAATTTTGCATTTGTCTCTGTTGGATATTATTTATAGTATACACCAAAACCAGGATTGGATTTACCAATGTTGTTGAATCAATGGTAGTAAAAGGAGCTTGGGGAATATACCTCAGTGGTGTAGCACTCAGGATCAGCCCCTTCCACACAGCATTTCTCTGCAAGGGCAACAATCTCATTCACAATACTGGAGATTTCCTCAAATGTGGCACTGCAATACTTTCTGCTGTTCAAGACAATAGTTCTGTGGAAAAACCAGAAAGACAGATTATACTGACCTGATAAATTTGCCTTCCTATTTTGTGCCAAGGAATTCTTCAGTTGGCTTGGCTAAGGGCTTTAGAATAAAATGTAATAGATTTCAGATTTAATAGATTTTGAATTCATAGTCCTCCTACCTTGTTGTGGTGCTGGAGCTTAAGTTCCTCAGTGATGCCATGAGTGAAACCGTGAAGGGACACACATGGCAGAGAAGTCAGACCAAACACAATCCCTAGGGAAGGTAATTGCAACCCACCCCAGTATTCTTGCCATGAAAACTAAATTGATCTGTACAACCAGAGATATGTCAATATGCCATCGGAAGATGGGACTCCCAGGTCAGAAGATGGTCAAAATGCTACTGGAGAGGCCTTGAAGTGACTGGTTTGGCCTTGAAGGAGCTGGCGGTAGTGACTGCCAACAGGGAGCTCTGGCGTGGGCTGGTCCATGGGGTCACAAAGAGTTGGAAGCAACTAAACGAATAAACAACAACAGTCCTCCTAGGGAGGAGCCTTTAACAGCCTCACTAAACTACAAACCCCAGAATTCTGCAGGAGGCAGAAACCGGATTTAAAGTGGATTCATTCTCTAGTGTGATGAAGCAGCTAGAGATGTTTTTGACAACTCTGCACTACTTTTGAGCATAGATTTGTACAGGATGTGGAAATATTATCCTTTTACATTACAGATTTCAGAAAAATTCAGCCAGCATGGCCAATTTCCATGCTTTATTTGGGATTCTGTAAGTTGCAGTCAATAAAGTCAATCTCACCAAGAACTCGGCTAGTGTTGTGCACTATATACTGATCTAGAACTTAGAAAATTCATTGTTGAATCATAACACCCAAGATCCAGTTACTAGTATCTGAGAAAGCGATGTTCCCAAGATCTGAGTTTGCATCATGCTAAAGGATTAGGTAAAAAGTTAGTGCTGAAAGCAGCAATGTAGAAGAAATAGGGCTATAGAGTTCAAAACACAAAACATAGTGATGTCTTTAGCTTCTCCGAAGTTCGAGTTCTCTACTTCATCTGACTTTAACTTCAATGTTGATAATTCTTGGGGAAATCAGACATTCTCAGAAGTAATACATTGTTGTGAGCTGTTCCTGTTGCAATCCAAAAATATTTTGCTCATGTCTTGGGGTACATCTAGTATCTACACAGTAGAGTTTATGCATTTTGATATCACTTTAACTAACATTTCTCAGTGTTATGGAATCATGGGATTTGTAGTTTTACAAGGTCTTTGACCTTATTTATTTTTTATTTACTATATTTTTATCCTGCCTTTCTCTACCCTGGAGGTGACCCAAGGCGGCTTACAGATAGGCAATAATTCAATGCTTTCACAACTATATACAGTAAAGTACATTAAAATTAAAATCAAAATTAAACACATTTAAACATTATAAAACATTGCTATCAGTATAAAACCATACAATTCACAATCAAATTCCAGGTCATTCCTGTAGTTACCAAACTACAAATCCTGGGATCTCATAGCATTGAGCCACATCAGTTAAAGTGTGTCAAACTGCATTGATTTTGCAGTGTTGATGCATCCTTGATCTTGAGTAGGAAGTTAAGACCTAGGTAAGGGTATACCTCAGTTAGCAATGTGGATGTGATCCTGGACATTACTTCTTTTAACATACAATTTGGTCCCTGAGGCAGAAATAACTTGTATAAAATAGGAATTACTTCTCCAGAAAGAACATGCTTCAGGCCTAGACATCATATTTATCATGGAAGTGTCCACATTTGGTGTCCAAAATGGTGTCCAGTAAGGCTAAACATGAGACAATGAATTTACAAGACATGGGTTCAATATACCTACATGCTACGGAACTTATCTCTTCCCAAGCTGTTGAACTCTTGGCAGATTTTTTCCTTGAAGTAATCTCGTCCTGAAAAAACACAATCAGTAAGATGCCAATCAATTAAAATGCAAGCTATATTGCTGAAAGAGAGAGAGAGAGAGAGGCAAAAGTAATAAGTTTTTGAATGTTTTAATGCAAAAAAAGAGAGGAAGAAGAGTTTCAAAGGAACCAGGTGGCTTTTGATGTCCTGAAGCTATTGGATTTTTTCGTTTTCATTTCAGTTGGCTGATTTATTACAGCAGAAGATAAACTTTCATATTGAAAGGTTCTAGAGAGCAGATGCTTCAAAGTCCACCTTAAGTCATGTTCCCAATTTTATTTTGTCAAAACTTGCATTAAATGAGTGGATCCTGACCTTTTCTTAAAAGTATGAGTATCATACAATCATAGAATCAAAGAGTTGGAAGAGACCTCATGGGCCATCCAGTCCAACCCCCTGCCAAGAAGCATTCATAACATGGACACCTAAGGTTGCATGTTAAAAATATTGCCTTTCCTTGAAAAGAGATAGTCCAAACGAACAGAGCCCATCACCTTGACACATTCTCATTCCAAAAAGAGAAACCTTATAACGGAGATCAATGACAGCCTGGGCAGGGGGACAAGCAATCCCAACACAGCCCACCAGTTTAAAGGGTTAACGTTCAGCTGGACACTACTTTTAACGACGCTAAATGACCATGACAAGGGGTAAAGACTCTCTTATCCCACCTCAGCAATATTGTTGAGTGACCAACTGTATTAACGTTGTTAATGACCAATGTAATAGGTAGATTCGCCACCACCACCTCAATTAAATGTCTGAGGAAAACATGTGTGAATGTGAAATAGGTAAAGTTTGTTCAAGCCTTTGGTTCCTCTGTAATGACTGCTTCTCTTGCTGACTGGACTGAAATTAAGTTGTCTTCAGGCTAGCTGAGATCTATAGAGTGTGATAGACCGAGGCAGACACCAGTTTAAAGATGAAATTAGAAACAGGTTTATTTAAACTTGATGAACAGATCAACTCTTAATAAGAGTGGTACAAAAGCATAATGCAGTTACTGAGGTTTAGCTGGTTAGACAGGCAGTCTCTTCTTAAGACTATAACTTTTGTTCCCTGTGAGTTCCTTGCTTCACACTGTTCACTACACTGACACAGTGTGTCCCTGAGAACAGCCCACTGARTGRCTCACAGAGCAAAKRAGGKTTTCCTWCACTGACCCTWCTKWGTACAGTGWDRCWGGAACCTTTGRCTWRCCTYTGCWCTAARRRDCAAGGCTCACTTCAAAAGTTRTCRCTCCGGGGGGGGGGGGGGGGGGGGGGGGGGGGTTGGGGGGCATGTCCAAGCGGCCAGGGTGGAGAGTATACGATCGACGAGVCTTGTCAAWAAGACACAGCCTTTTTTCCCTCTAAAAGCTAACTCCTCCCCTGACTGCTCTAGCCAATCAGGAGTCGGCTGACTCCTCCCTCCTGCCTCTTGGCCTTCCTGCCTATCTCTCAACATGTCAGCTACTGACTTTCCAGGCTTCGGCCTCCTGGCAAAAGGTTAGATTCATCACAGTGTGATATCAACAGAAGTCTACATTGATCCTATAAAACAGTGGTTCTCAGGGCTGTGAGACCTAAAATAAGGTCTGTGGCTCTAGATTATTAAAGATGGTGACTACTGAGTGGCATATGTTTTCTGTTGTTTTGCTGTTGTAATTTTAGAGTTTATTTAATACTGGTAGCTAGATTTTGTTCATTTTCATGGTTTCTTCCTTTCTGTTGAAATTGTCCACATGCTTGTGGATTTCAGTGGCTTCTCTGTGTAGTCTGACATGGTGGTTGTTAGAGTGGTCCAGCATTTCTGTGTTCTCAAATAATATGCTGTGTCCAGGTTGAGAGAGAATTCACTCCTCCTAGCTTGGAGGTTTGTGAATGTGCCTTCAGGTCCCCTGCTGATTTACAGTGACCCCCTAAATTTTGTAGGGTTTTCTTAGGCAAGGAATACTCAGATACTGGTTATGCAATCAGTTCCACATTTTGCATCTTTATTCAGTTGTGCAACATTGTTATTCAACACAAAGATTTTGTAGCATGCTTACTGTGTAACTTCTCATACAGATATTACACAACCTTGGTGCAAGATCTTGACTAAAGCATGCTCTAATCCAGTAGCTCTCAACTTGTGGGTCCCCAGATGTTTTGGCCTTCAACTCCCAGAAATCCTAAGTTGGTAAACTGGCTGGGATTTCTGGGAGTTGTAGGCCAAAACACATGGGGATCCACAGGTTGAGAACCACTGCTCTAATCTTTGTCAGCAAAGGGAGCTGGGTATAAACAGAGCTGAAATTTTAAAAGGGTTCTTTGCATTTTTCAAGGAGAATTAAATTTATTGGATTCTATTGCTTTTCATGTTTCTTGCAAACTTGAGGGCTATTTGGGGTGAAATATAATACATGATCAATCCAGTTTGAGATCCTGAAGTCCCTTGAGCACATAATTTCTCAATATGTTTGTGTTTTCAAGTCACCTGTTGACTCATGGGGACTTCATGAATTCCATATGGTTTTCTTATGCAAGGAATACTCGGAGACAGTAAATAAACCGCAACACTAAAAATACAGCGGAATGCGAGACAAGAATCAATTAGGGCCAGCTAACACCTCCCAACAAAGGATCCCCCAGGCAGCAATTGGCCAGGCTTTGAAGCTACAAGGCCATTAGGTGCTAATCAAGGTGGTCAATTGCAACATTCACACTTGCCTGAAGCAGACACGAGTTCTTTCTCCCACCCTGGACATTCCACAGATATATAAATCTCACTTGCCTACTTTCCAACAGACCTCACAATCTCTGAGGATGCCTGCTATAGATGTGGGTGAAATGTCAGAAGAGAATGCTTCTTGAACATGGCCATACAGCCCGGAAAACTAACAGCAACCTAGTGATTCTGGACATAAAAGCCTTCAGCAACACAAATAGAAGAGTTCTAAATGTGAATGCTTTTCAGCACCTCACTCTCTCCAGTGGGTCTAAAGGAGAAGAATCCTTGCTAGAGGAGGCTTATATTCCAGTTTTATGCCCTTGCAGTTATATCCCAGGCTGCAAACCAATATTGTCACTTTTGTTTTCTCGAATTATTTTTTTACACTTGTCTTTGCCTACAAAGAGCCCAGTGGAATTCAAAATGTCAAGTGAGTTATTTTGAAGCTGACATAATCAATATTAAACCATGGATTTTAAATTTATGTTCTGTGGCTATTGTACTTTAATCTCTGTTTCATGTATTTTAATAAATGTAATATATAGAAACGTGTTTTAATATTGAATGAATTTGATATGTTTTAATGTGTTGTGCTATCGCTCGAGCTGTGAGTAATTATTATTATTAGTTGTATAAGTATAAGTTTAATTAGTCAGGTGATTACAAATATCATCACAGCATGTAGTTTGGATTAATTCTATGGTTAACTTAAGAGACACTAGAATTTTCCCCCTGCAAATAAAAGCTTGTTGTACCTGGAAGTACCTGCAGAGGGCAGTATTGTGCTGCACACTGTTGCAATGGAAAGTATTGGATTCCAGAAATTAGGAAGAGCAGTTCCTATAAAATAATACACTATGCCCCCTATTGTGAAACCACATGAGAAGATGTCGTGATTTAGGCAGCCACAATGTGTACCAAAGGACTTGTTAATGAATAATCTAATCCGACAAAGTGGTATCGATTTAACGGCAGAAGTGTCTTGGCTTGACTTCCGAAATCTCTGTCGTCAAAGTAAGAGCAAAGGGGAAGCTGGAAGGAGGGTGGTGACCTTTACATTAGCTTTCATGCAATGTATCCCTTGTGAGAAGTGTTAATCAAAATCAAGATTAAATTTGCAGATTATATTAGCGTACTCAGGAGTGTCCTGTTCTGCACTTCAATGCTGAGGGGTGGAGGAAGTAAAGTATTCTGCTTTTGAGCCTGATGTTTTCAACAGTATGGATTTCTTCCATGAATGTCCATAGGAAAGGACAAAGAGAAAATCAAGAGTTTAAGAGAGAGACTATGGTAGCTCTCTTATTATTTATTTATTTATTTATTTACAGCTTTTATATTCCACCCTTCTCACTCCACAGGGGACTCAGGGCGGATTACAGTGTACACATATATGGCAAACATTCAATGCCAATTTTGACATACAAACATATATAGACATAGACAGAGGCTATTTAACTTTTTCTGGCCAACAGGAGAGCTGTCGCTTTTATCCTCCATCTGCGACGCTGATGAAGCACTTCCGCATTCCCCGCATGCTTTCCCGCTGGAATGCTTTGCTGGAGTCTTCTTTGTGGCCTCATAAATTAGTTAATTTAGCCTCCCCACACTTTAAGGTGGTACCTTATTTTCCTACTTGACAGATGCAGCTGTCTTTTGGGTTGCAAAGGTTGACAACAGGCTACACAGCCTGACACTCAGCCTGCTGTGCCACAATCTTAGGTTTAGGTCCTCATATCTAAGGGCAAGGCTCATGCTTTGCCTGTGAAACACCCAGTTCAATCCCTGGCAACTTCAAGTCAGGCCTAAAATACTGTGTAGACAATGAGGAGCTGTAGGGACTCATAGTTTGGTTTGGACCATGTACCTAAGACTACATCTCCCATCATATTGAGTCATCATGGACAAGGGTCTGATGAGAAGTGTAGGTCTGATGGGGCCAGGTTTTAGCACAGCTGGTTAATCACCAATAGCAATCGTAATATATCACACCAATTACAAGGCTGGCAGTTCGAAGCTCGGGTTGGGGTGAGTACCCAACCTTCAGCCCAGCTCACTGTCCACCTAAGAAGTTTGAAAACAGCTGTGAGCTGTGGGTAGAGAAATTAGGCACAGCTTAAGCAGGGAGGTATTTTACGGCATCATATAAAGGAAATACCAGAAAATGCCGGGGATTAAAGGAAGGAGGAAGTCTGTGATCAAGGGCTCTTTGTCACAGAGGATGGCACAACAGCACCCCCCCCCCCGTGGCTGGAATTGAGCACAACCTCCAGAATGCCGAAACTGGAAAAATGCAGAT